ACATTTTTTTTCTTGGTCTGAAGAAATATGGAATTTACTCTTTTCCAGTGAATTACACAACTGGTGAAGGTTGAAAAATGGATCGGCCAAAATTTTACGATAGAAAATCAAAGACACCTAAATGAATATTATTTAAAACAGATTTACTATTAGCATTTCACTGAGTTTTGTTGACAAAGTGCTTTGTTTTATTTTGATTTTTTTGTTTTGTGTGTGTGTGTGTGTGTGTGTGTGTGTGTGTGTGTGTGTGTGTGTGTGTGTGTGTGCTAACATTTTAAAAGAAACTGCATCAACTCTGACAGCAAAAAAAGTGCACTTTGAATCACATTTAATTTACTTAGAAGGGAAGATATGTCTGACTTGAAAAACAACATTACGAAATCTAAGTTCTTCCATCGTTTCAAACACCGACCACTGGCGATATTTCATTTGTCGTATTTTTTCTGCTTTCATTCTAATGAATACAATCGTGTGCTTTCTTACTTGTTTTTCCCAATTCTCTGGCCGAGCTTCGTCTGGCTACAAACGGTTACTGAGTTACATCATGGTCGCATTAGAAGTCCTCTAGGCATGATATCCTAGACTAGCTTATTAAATATTACTCTACATTGAAGAATTTCATTATTTATATTTACAAAATTTAGTCTGGTACAAGGCTACTATTGTGGAGGTACATCTCAAAAATATTATTCCCACGGTAATAATGACCAAAAGTTTTAAAAGCCTAAGTAGAGTTCCAACTAAATAGAGAGAAACATGAAAATATTTTATTAAATACGAAGGAAAACATTCACGCTCTTTTAAACATAGAAGAGTTCATTCTAGACTTGTATTTATTTTCTAATATTTTTATTGAGGGGGGTGCTATTTTTGTTTTAAAAATCGAAATTTTATTACAATTTATCCAATTTTTACACCGTTTAAATTATTATTAAAATACATTATCGAATCATTCGTCACGATTCATTTGAAAAACTCAGCAATTCAAATGGTTTTTACGATCGACCGGAAATGAAAAACAAATCATCACTGCAAGGAAAATACGTTTTTATAAAAACACAAAGTAAATTTTTTTTCGTCTTGCTTTTTAATGATTGATTGCTATTTTCAATTTAACCCCAGACTGAAAAATATTCACAACAGAATTGCTTGACGAAAGTACAAATTCATTTAAATCCTGAGTAATATTAAAATGTGCTGTGTAATATTTCAAATATGGTGTTGCGTAAAACTTTTAGGCATTATCGCACACTGTATTATTCATTACTTTATGGAATTTCATGGCTTTATCCATATCGGACACAAACGAAAAATATACAGTGTATTTCTAAAAATATGTTATTATTTGACATGTATCTGAGTTAATACATAATCTAGGCAAATGAAACTAGGTTTATTGCTGAGCAAAATAAGATTTAGTTATCAAAATTTTAATGAGAAATTCAAATGTATGTGGATTTCATGAACGATTTCATGTTTTCAGTATGCGCACCAATCGACCATCTCTTTCAATTCTGGTGCTCATCCAGATCCTTTTAGCCCAGCATAGACAGCCTTTCACTTTGAGGTTGTGTCATATTCAAATATTCATTGCACCTGGTGCATTTTTATCGAGTTCTCTCACAAATATACGCTTTACCTTCTTTTTCGACTGTTTTCGAGCAGAGATTCTAACACACAAACGCCTTTTTTTCCAGTAAATGTAATTTCTATTCATAAAAAGAAAAAGTACATAAAACATAGAATAGTGATTTATTTGTACACGTGCTGTTAAAAATTGAGATCATTTAAACGAGAATTGATCAAGTTATTTGATTATGCAATGATATAAATTTATTTGAAACACCTTGTATGTGTGTTCTTAAGGACTCTGTAGCTTACATATGACTATCTAAACACACACACAAACACACACACTACATTTGAATGCACACAAACACAGCACATGAACTTGTGTGCGTTTGTGCTTGTGTGTGTGCGCCTGCGTTAAATATTCATATTGTTTAAATCAGGCATGTCAAACTGATGATCCCCTGAGTGTTATATGCTCATATATGTGTTGTGATGAGGGCCACACACGACAACTAATTGTGCACAATACAACTAATTGGGGTCATTTAATAAAATATATTTCAGAATATTTTAATTGCTTAAATTTAGAAACACACATACAAATATTTCAGCAGAATTCCTGTATACAAATTAATGATGTAGTTTAATAAAATTTTAAACAACATATTCTTGCAGTTTACCCTCTCCAAGTTCTCCACTGCTTATCTGAGTATTGAACTCACACTCTTTGGGTCCTGTGAGTTCAATAACCGGCTAAGGCAGTGGAGAACTTTCAGAGGTGAATTAACAGGCATCCATTAAACATGGCACATGGAACTAGAACAGTCTACCCCAGTGAGCGAAATAAAGAGTTCGGTTCGACATTCCAACCACCTGAAGAAGGCCGGAGATTACAACGGCCGAAACATTGTAATAAATATGACGACAAATATGAGGACAATAGTCCGAATAATGTAAATAATTTACATAATACCTCATCTCAGAATTATAGAGAGATAACCTAAAGTTTGTCCATAATATTAAAATTACTTTAAATAAATTTATGCAGTAAATGGTATTCCTATTTGGTATTTATTAAAATAAATCAAAATGTAAAAAACGTGATTTATTTTCTTAAATACTGTAATTTTTAAATGATAAAAACTGCAGTTTTGGCCATTAACTGACCAAATTAGTATCCTTTGTTTGAAGTGTACTACATGTGTGCTTGTAATGTCCGTATGTTTGACATGCCTGGTTTAAATAGTAACGGCAATGGTTACTGCAAAAAGTTTTCACTAATTGCAAAATCTTGATGTCAAATAGTTTCAAGTAGAAACACGGAAACATTTTTAAAGACATGCTTCCCTTTTCAAATACGTTATTTGAAATTAAGTTTATTGAATTTCGGTTATGGGTTATTACTTGTTTAGTCTTTTGAGCTGTAAGATGCTAGTAGGTAGTGTACTAGGAAGTTGCTTTCGTGTCTGCATTTGGAAATGAACTCGGTTCTTTTGTTTAGGAGTTTATATTGTCCTGTGAATTTGATTATTACTATTTTCTCTTCTATTCAAAGGCAATGTCTTCAAACCGGAACCTTTTTACTAAAACTGCCTGGGTATATAGGTTATTTACATGAGAGTCGTTTACTTAGTTTTCACTCAACCACTTTTTTCTTCGTTAGTTATGCTAATGACGTTTTATTTAGCGACAGAACAAATAGCAGGGAGGGGTGAATTTATGCCTTTTCCAGAGCATCAGTGGAAAATGCATATACACAGCATCAGACGGCATTCGAACTGATTCTGACTCATGTATATACGTACGTATGTCTTTAATGAATCTTAATATGGCATACGTCCTCATTTAACCTGACTCTCACATGCGAACTTTATTGCACTGATTTACTTATGTATATTTTTTCTTGTTTTTAGTTTTTTATTTTAACTATTTTTTTCTTTTTTATTTAGTTTCTCCTGATTAATTGATTGACATTTCTTGGGTTTCTCATTACTACGAAATGACACAAAAAGTACCGACCATTTGTTTATTCAACTATTTGCCGTGATTTTTTTCTTCTTCTTCTCTATGTAAGAATAAATACTTATATTTAGTGAAGTGCTAAAAGTAGTTTACTTATTAGTTATACCTTTGTACGCCAGGCGTGTGTCGAGAAGTAATTATTGCTTTATACATTTCCGCAGGTACGGAGATATGTTTCGAAATGTCTGTTCTAATGATAAATGTTCTCACTATTATTTGATAAACATGTCAGCTACAAATTCTTTTTAATAAGGGTTTCTAGGTTATTTTCGCTTTCAAAAATTGTTCACACCGAACACACTTCACTTTTTACTTTATATAAGTGCTTTTAGAATCTTACATACTAATAATATATATATATATATATATATATATATATATATATATATATATATATATATATATATATATATTTGCGCTGCTATTATTTCGGAAGGAATTTTTCTGTTTTTCATCAAAGACAAAACAAAATGCAAATGACGCTGGATACAGGGAGAAAAAGAGAAAGAAAGGGGGGGGGAGGAGGCTAAAGAGTAAGAAGAGGAGAGAGGAAAAATGAGAGAGTGGGGTAGATAGAGAGAGATGGTGAGAGAGAGGGGAATAGAGTGGTGAGTGGGGATAGGGAGAAGAAGAGAGAAGAACATAGAAGGGAAAGAGAAGGACAAAGAGAGAGATGAAGGCGAGAGATTGAATTCAGATAATAGGATAAAAATAGAATGTTCTTCAAATAAGAAACAAATCGATATTATTGTACATTTTACTGGGAACTGTTTAACCGATTTACATTTGATCACTACTCGTGTGTTTGAATGTTTAGCTAATCGCTGTTGCGGAAGCTTGCTCAGACACATTTGCGTTTGTACAACATCCACAGAGCCCACGTGTTGTTTATACTACAACTATACCTCGGTTAATGGTGTGTTTAACAGAGAGAGAACTTATCATTTCGTGTGATTAAAAAGGCTAGTAAGCTAAAACGCTCGGTCACAATGGCTTATTACTTTGTGTTAACCATCAACGAAGAGTCCGCATGCCTAATTTCTTTCATAAGGCGTGGGTCAACTCGAGCTATAGTGTACAGGTACAGGTAAATACATCACTTACCCAGGCCAATAGTATCATGATTCATTCATTTATTTTTACTGCTTATCAACCTTTTATGGGTTATTTAAAGCCAGCAGACATTTTTAAATTGTAAGAATTTTTTTTTTATTTGTTTTGAGATAATAATGATTTAGTGATACAAGTCTTACTAATTAACCTATAACTGGGGGGAAGAAGTGAATTCATACCTTTCCCAAGGGTGTTTGCGCGTAATCGAATATAACGAACCCAACGGGAATTGGAACTCGGCTATCCGATTAACAATTCTGATCTATGATCAATTGCCACCTACACATCCAACCTTACAGTACTTGGTATTCTCAAGCGGTCACCCATCTAAGTACTGACCAGGCTCGACGTTGCTTAACTTTGATGATTGTACAGGAACCAGTGTTTCAACATGATGTGACCGTAAGTCTGATATGAACAATAAAACTATATAAACTAAACATAAATGCTTCAATGTTCGTATCAGGTCAGGAGGAACAAATCATTTTCTTTTTACAATAAATGTATATTTTTCAACATGATCGCCTTTTTCGTCAATGCACTTAATCCAGTGTTTCTTTAGTCATCACGTAGATTGAATAAAATGCTGAGAAAAATAAATGTAATTAAAGCGTAAGGCTACGAATTTGTTGATCTATCCTAGTAACTAATGGCAATGACAGAATGCCTTTTCTTGTTCCAATATTAGTTTCGTCAACAAAGCGTCGATCACAAAACACTTACATCATGTAATCAATTTTGTACTTAATGAACAACTGCAGAATATGTTCGGCAAACCTCGAAAATATTTTCATCTTTGTATTCAAGATGATAATAGAGGAATGTGGCACAAGGCTGAAAAGGAGCCTACGCTAGTTTTCTGCTAAGCCTCCTCCTACTCCTCCTAACTACTTCCATTCGCGATCCATAAACATTGCTTTTTTTCCCCTTCACCCTATGTTTTCTTTTGCCACGATTCCTGACCATCGATTTACTCTATGGATCTACACTAGGGCACCAAACGTCTGCACAATTCCAAGAAACATTTACCATAAAATTATTAGAGTAAATTTGGTTTGGTTTGTTTTGTTTTATGACATATCAAGCTGAATGTGTTATTTAATACCGACAAAATTTTTATTGCTGGTAATATGCTTTTCTTCAAAAAATCTATTTCTGGGAATATTTTTCCTTGAAGAAATCTATAACTGGTCATATTTTTTCCAAAGAATGTATAGCTCTTTGTATTGCTGGTATTTTTTAAAGTATTGATGATAATAATAATTTTTCCTTCAAAAATTATTAATGGCAATAATTTTTTATTACAAAGTATTTCTGGTATTAAAACCTATTTTTACACAAGTTTTGGCGTTAACTATTTGCCCATAGCTGGGACCTTAACAGGTGCTACCACCCCGGGATGGGTGGACCCGGGAACACCAGCAATAAAGACGTGGTTACACGCTCCTCAAAACCTCCTAATCAGAGGCCTTGTTGTTGGAGGTAGTTTATCGTCATACCTAAGATGCGGATGTAGTTTATCGTCATACCCTGGATAAATATTAAAGAGTAAAGGAAAAATAGTATACTTAAAATCTAAAAATAAAAGCGGTTTAATATCTGTCTATATTTCTGAGATGAGGTATTATGTGCGGAAAGAAATATAAAGGGAAGACAGGCCGCCCCCTTAAGGTAAGGCTTCAAGAACACCAGAAAGCTATAACACGAGGGTTAGTGGAAGAATCAGGCGTGGCTGAGCACATATGGAGAGAGAAAGGAGATCACCGCCCTCTGTGGGATCAGGTTGAGATTATAGACAAAGAAAACCATTGGAAAAATCGTAAACTTAAGGAATCAGCACATATGCTAGGCCACAAAAATCTCCTGATCCGACCAAGCATAGAAATGAATAGAATATGGGAACCTGTAATAAGGAGTGCCAGAGAAAAGCGATAATAACAACAAAAAATGGAACATGAGTTCTGATAAAAACATAATGTGATAACAACAAAAATTGCAATATGAGCTCTGGTAAAATATGGTTGCTGAAGGCATTAGGTTTATAATACCCAGAAATACACAGATACACAGATGTCCTCAGGGACACATGGCATAGTGGATAAAGGCGTTAGTTAGATCCATTGAGAGGACCCAAAGAGTGTGAGTTCAATACTCGATTAAGGCAGTGGAGAACATTCAGAGGTAAATTAACAGGAGATAACTGATAACTGACATCCATCAAACATAGCACGTGGAACTAGAACAGTCTACAAAATAAAGGGTTCAGTTCGACATTCCAACCACCTGAAGAAGGCCGGAGCGTACAACCACCGAAACGATGTAATAAATATGGCGACAAAGATGAGGACAATAGTCCAAATAATGTAAAAAGCGGTTTAGTATATGTTCTAATGTTCCTTTTTATAAAGTAAAACTGGTCGCTGTTTTCGAGAAGTCTTCAGGAATGATTCATATTTTGAAATTCCTGTTTCTAAAGTTAACGTTTCTCGAGTAATTTCCTTTTTTTCTTAATATTTTGTATGTTATTTATGATTTCTATTGCGAAGAAATTCTTTAAAAAAATTAATTGTATGAAAACTTTCATGATATCCGATATGTTTTTACAAAGTGAAATTATTTCAAAAGAGAAAACCAATTACGTTAAACTAAAAGTTTATTTCATCTTCAAGTATTTATTATAATGCTCGGTGTATTTCTTCCTTCCGTTTAATAGACACGAATGACTAAACAGCCTAACAGCGATTGAGAAAATGTTTCTTTGAGATTATTCTTTTCGCCTGGATGAATCCCAGCTTGATTGCCATGAATTTGACAATCAATCAAACTGAGATTCATGAGCATTTATTGATTGAAAGGCAAGCATGGAAAACAATGATAATTCTACGGAAAATGATATTTTGGAGTTTCTTTGTCCAAAGTAGCCATACTCTAACGGTGCGTCAGATTATGTTTCATGACAAGTTGTTGATGAGGTTGGCAATGAAAGCAATAATTGTTCGATGGTGATTGATGTGAGATTTCGTGAGAATTTGCTTTTTCTGGGTTTTCATAATCTGATACCGTTGAACATCTGAGAAGATAAATGGGAAAAATATCTTTTCATCGTTCATGCTCTGACGTCGAATCAAATAATTCTGAAGAATCTTTGTACATGTTATTGAAAGCACTGAAGCAATGATTACCCTGAAAATGGCCAACGAATTACTGAACGAAATAAACTTACCCAAAAATATCTCCAGAATAAGTAGTTTAGGAATCAGTTTAAATTTTGAAAGAATAAAATTTTATGTTTCATTACACAAATGTTTTTAATGCAAATTTATTTTTAACTAACCCTTACTTTCAGGAAAAGTACAATTCTTTTTGCTACTGTTATTTTTTTCTGTGGGACTTTTGTAGCTAACAATAAAGTAAATAAAAACTTATATACAGTGAATTCGTTGTAAAATGAAAAATTATGTTGGTAAATTAGTAAGAAAATGTTTAAATATACATATATTTAAAAAGAAATATTAATTCCATTCAGAAAAGTTTGTTTTTTATTTCTCATTTAGTTTAGAGAAAGATGGGAACTAGTGTAAAGTTCAATGGGAGAACGAAATATTTGTTTTATGTCTAATGCGATTATTAACACTATTAGTGTCTGTTCGTCTACAACGGAGATCAAGTGACACTAAGCCTATTCACTCTGCATCCCTTTTTTATTTCTTGTATTATTTTGATATGTTTTCCTTGCACAAGTTATGGTGACTTTGGAGATTAAATGATAAGAAACCTCTTCAATCTCCAGCAATATCAATAACACAAAAATACTATACCACATAAACTGTAAAGAATAGATACAATAAAAAAATACAACATCACAAACTGATAAATACATGGTATCTGTCAAATAACTATAAACACTGTAAGCCTTAAGTATAAAAAAACAACTTAAGATCAATAACATTTCATAAGGGACAAAAATACTAAATATATTTCACAATTAATAATAGAAAGAACAAAGGAAATGACAATACCAGAAACTGATGCATGAAGACATGATATTTGAAAAGAAAACATGACATCTACAAATATGTGAAGATGATACTTGAAAAACAACAGAACACAATGCATACCCATAGATACAAACCTATCAAAATAAGAATAATACAATTTGATAATGGCATATGAAAGCTGAAAGTGCTCAGAAAGCAACAGAAGAGATTGCAATAACAATTATGGTGTTTTCCTTCTCAGCATCATCAGGAAACTCTTTGCTTGAGTTGCACTAAAGAGGCTTCACGTTTTTGGAGTGAAACTCTATTCTAAATCATATTGTGTATTCCATTGACGTGGTCTTCTCTCTCAGACAGCTTCAATAGAAATGCAGGAAACAAAGACAACCCTTCTTGATTGACCTTATCAGCAGGGTCAGCCTTTTAACAATCCTTCCCAAGATTGGATACCCAACTAGGATCATCATATTTTTCCATGAAGACACAAAAGGCAATGTTTGATGGCTCAACATCAAGTACTTTTGACATCCAAAGTAGAGTAAAGCAGGGCTGAGTCCTCACTTCCATTTTGTTTGGGATCTTCTTTGCTGTCTATATAAAGCCTGAATAGAATCTCTGGATTTCTAGTTCGTCCCCAATTGGTTTTTATACGCCCACATACGCTTATGAATTCTTGGTTTGATTTATCTTTGCTAGTGTCGGTTCAAAACATTTTTTCTTACTGTCTAGTTTACTGTCTACTCCTGAGGATTCAGTTTTTGTAGAAACGATATAAAACGGAGTTTGGTAATCTTGCTTCGGTGGAAAATGGCAGAATTCGAGAGTCTTTGCAAAACAGGACATTACTTGATATAAGGCTGAGTGAGTTCTACAAACAGAACTTCCCTCTATAAAATATTAAAACTGATCCACAAAAAGAGCTCAATGTAAACGATTAATAAACAATAAAATCGGAGTTTGGGGAGTAGTCTAAAGATATCGGTCGTTCTCTTATCAACCCCGTCGGTTCGGAAAATGGCAAATTTAACTATGAAAAAAAAAAAAAACGAAAAAAACAAACGATGGACAAAACTAATACAGAATTTATCCAATTCAATGTTTCTTTTGAGATCAAAACAGGAATTTTTGGGGTTTAAATGAAATATTAATTTAAAATTAAAAGAGGAATAAAAAGGGGTTTAAAATAACTTTTAAAATATAGGATGTAAAGGATTAATGGAGTTCTATTAAACAGAACTTCCCTATATATAAAATGTGTGTGTGTGTGTGTGTGTGTGTGTGTGTGTGTGTGTGTGTTAAAAACTGATCCAGGCCTATATTTAGTAGTCGACATCGCACTCTGAAGAGAGAGACACAGAGAGACAATGTATTTACACTAACATACATTAACCTGTTAATATATCTTTCT